ATGTTCATAGCAGCACAGTTTACAATAGCTAAGATCTGGAAACAGCCCAAGTGCCCATCAGTAGATGAGTAGATAAAAAAGCTGTGGGACATATACACCATGGAATACTATGCAGCTGTAAAGAAGAAGAATCTCGTACCCTTTGGGACAGTATGGATGGACCTGGAGAATATTATGCTAAGTGAAATAAGCCAGGCAGCGAAAGACAGATATCACATGATCTCGCTTATACGTGGAATCTAAAGAACTTAATAAACTGATGAACAGAATAGATTCAATGACATGGAAGCATAGATGAGATTGATGAATGTCAGAGGGATGGAGGAGGGCGGGTGGGTGGAGGGGGAGAGAGTAACCAAAGAATTTATGTGCATATATACACAACCCAAGGACATGGACAATGGTGGGGAGAGGGACTGGGGAGGGGAAAGGAACGGGGTGGAACGGGTCATTGGGGAGAAAAAGGGACATCTGTAATATTTTAAACAATAATAAAATTGAAAAACAAAACAAAACATTTGCTTATTTTGTTTTGCACAGGCATAGCCTTCCCTGCTCCATGTCTTAATAAACCCATAGATGAGCTATATCATCATATCCAAGTACCGTGCTAAGTACTTTACATGCTTGGAATTACAAACCTCATAACAATCCTATGACTTTGGGAGAAAACAGAGACTCAGTGAGGCTTAAGTTAACTTGCTCCTTTTGTCACTACTAATAAATACTAGAACCAAGACCTAAATCTTTGAAATGACTAAGCCTGTACTCTGAACCAATATGTATCCTTTCTCTCAACTTCTGCCAGGTTCCCAAACTCAAGTCTCTTACAGTATAAAAATCATGCACCTAGTATTGGTTCAGATCACTTCTCAGAACAGTAGTTTCCTATCCTCTCTTACATCACAATAAAATCCCTGGTTTTCTTTTAGATTCTTTCTGTCCATTTCACTTCAACCACTTCATTTTTCTTTTCTTTTTTCCTTTGTTTAGACCTAGAATTCTTTTACCTACCTGAATCATCTTATATACCAATTATTTTTACACTGAAATATATTAAAATTCAAGGCTTCCAAGAAAAATATGTCCCATCTTCCAAGTTGGCCTTTTATGTTCTCCACCAAGTAGTATTTAAGACTGTTGGACAGTGTCATGTCATAGATTATACCACCTATGTTTGATTGACTTACAGATAACGCTAGTTTTCTATAACTCGGGTCAGAACAGCATTATAAGCTACCCTACAAAATGATTCAGATTCATTATTGGGCATGTATGCATCCCACGGATGAAGGAGAGATGAAGGTAGAAAAAAAGAATTAAATGTCTGCTATGAGCTAAAGATAACCTCAGTTGGAATTATCTGAGAAGGGAAAATAGAGAAGTCTACAGGGCATTAAGCGTCACAGATCTTTATGATCCTGATTTTCCCCTTGATTCCATCTCAATTCTTGTACATTACTCAGACCTTCCTCAATTTCTCTTTTCATCCTTTAATTTATTTCTTACATATCTACCCTAAGTTGCTAAGTTCTGTCTGCTAGCCCCAAATTTCATTATGAAAATTGTTATTAATATTTTTAGATATAGAGTCCCTTGAGCAGGTGTGTCAGAATTCAGGTAAAATAGTTACTCTGTTGCCATGACAGTGTATTAATATAATTCTATAAAGGACCTAAGAGCTTTCAGAATTAAATTATAATTTCTCCTATACTAAACAATATTGGATACATAAATTGTTTCATTATTTTTGAATTGATTAGTGAGATTATGATGAAAGAGATTCTAATATTGGCTGTTAGTAGCCTGCAGACATGCATTTATATCACTTGAGATCTTCACTTGTGATCGTGAGTTTTAAAAATAGGTTCAAGTATTACACTCTTAGCAGAGGTGAGAGTTCTGCTATTTTCAAAGCTTACTTTTGGTGGAAAATCATACTGTTAGCATCCTTAGCCTTTATTGCCATGGAGATAGTAACTGCCTTTATTTATTTATTTTGTGTATGTGTGTGTGTGTTTAACAGAAGCTTAAAATATACATACACACCCTAGGATTTAAAGTGTGAATTAGTTGTCTGTAGATTTTGAGTACTGGCACATTTCAAAAGTATTTTTAATACATTATTATTTTTATCCTCCAAAGAAAACAGAAGAATTCTGGCCATTATAGTGAGAAAGTTTTATATTACTTTTTACAGGGTCTTTTAGGAATAACTTAGAATCCCTTGTGGATAGTAATGGATAAGGATTTTGAAGAACATGCAGAAACTTTTGAAAAAGTAATGTGATCTTAGGCATTCAATGTCTTGGACACCTATGTTATGACACTAATATATAATGCGTACAAATAAATTCAAATTCAATTGGTACTTTTGATACTTTGCTAAATACTTTCACCCTATTATAGTTTATTTAATAGGACTCAGTTTGAAAGTATCAAAGCAATCTTCATATTTTTAACTTTTAACATATTAACTGATTATTTAAATGTATATCAATAGTGTCTTAACATTTATCCCTAAAAATCAGTAAGTAAAAGTTATATGAGCTTTTAATAAGTAAAGCTTTCAGTTTGTGAATTATATTTTATATTTGAATGGATTCCATGGTATGGAATATTACTGTTTCATATACCACACGATCATATTTGTAACTAAATACTGTCTATTTAGCACCCGTTGTCAGACGGGCATGGCCTAGTTGATATCTTACCTAGTCCACTAGCAGTTTTGACTTCTTATGTCAATAGCTGAACACTCAGGTGATTGATTTCCTTGTTAAGTGAGGTAGATTAATCCTACTTACACGGTATTTATCACAACTGAGATTTGTAATAGTTATTTGTGGATAAAGAAAACCTTTGATTACAATTATTATGACCAAAATCCTAAAACTTAGACCTGTACTTCCCTCAGTTAATACCTGTATTTAATGGCAAAGAAAGACAAAATAAGAAAGCTCTTCGCCTTATAAAGAGAGAGAAATAGCTAAAGATTATAGGCAGTTACAACTTCTGCTTTGATTATTAGATTTTAGCTTTTCCAGTTTGCAGTGACTTTTTAACAAGACCCATCTCCTCTATGAAGAATGCTTTTTTTTTTTTTTTTTCCTGGCACAAAAAATAGGGTAACCTGATCTGAGTCTGACAGAGTGTGTCGTTCATTTAAGTGCTTCCATCTGTTGCCTGCTGTTCCCCTTACTCATGACCCCTCTATGTTTCTCTTTCCCTTCTCTTTCCCTCTGTTTCTCTTTCCTTTTTCTTTCTTCCTTCCTTCCTTTCTACCCACTCCCCCCTTTTTCCCCTCTCCCTCTCTCTGTCTCTTTTTTTTGTCCTTAGCCCCTTTGAGGAAGGCAAAGTTTGTTGAGAGCCCACGAATTCCAGAATCCGAGCTTGGCTCCCCAACCCTCACTTCAGCTCAGAAGCTGGACGTGGATGCATACTGCCCTGGTAAGCATGCATGCAAAGTGTCTGCTTTGAAAGAGGGAGGTTTGGATCAGGCCCATCCAGCAGAGCAGTAGTTTGCATGTATACTATTTATAAAAACATATGTTACCTCTTTTGCAACTGATTGCATATTTTTCTTATTAGAACATAGTTTTTACTGAACATCCTTTCAACTATTGATATTATTGAGAATAAGTGAAAAAAATTCAAAGATAGTTTTCAAAAGAGTTAAAATAATTGTGGTAGATAATCGGTTTTCAGGGTGATTTTCATGATTTGAGATACTTGAAGAAACTTTGCTTTGGCCATGTGCAAACAGGAATGTTAAAGCTATGAATAAAAATGTTCACTCATCACTTGCCCTCTGCATGTGGCCTATTTTGCCTAATCCTTATTGGATTTCTGCACAGTTATAGAAAATAGTTGCTATGTTAGAAACATTAAACTTGAATTAGAAAAGAAACAGTATAGGTCCCTGATTTGGACTCCTGGACACACACTTTTAGAAACATCTCTTCTCATGAATGGCCTGTAAACACATGTGGGAGTTCACTAAAACCCTTCTTGTGTGGGAGCCAAACTGAGACAGAGTCATTATCAATGCTTAGATTCTTCCAAACTTAGATGAGTTGCCTAGCAACATCCTTTACACTCACTCTACAGTGAGTCTATAGAGCTGTGTCAGAAATGTTCACAGCTCTAGTTGAGTATACAGATCAGAGCTTTGGTAAAGGACCTTAGAAGACTTGGTTTTAGGTCTTTTGTTTATTCCTGCTCGTTAAAATAGAAGTTAAACCACAGTGAATGCAACCACTACATACTTACAGCATTAGGGGTCAGCAGAATCAAATTATTTCTAGTTCTAGGGAAGATATCAGTAGCTGTCATCTGAAATGTCAGGATAATATACCTCTGAACCCAGATAAGACATGTTTGTGTGTTTTTAAAATTTTATTTTTTAAAAAATATATCTTCATTGATTTCAGAGAGAGGAAAGGAGAGGGGGAGAGAGACAGAAACATCAATGATGAGAGAGTCGTTGATCGGCTGTCTCCTGCACGCCCCCAACTGGGGATCGAGCTCGCAACCCGGGCATGTGCCCTGACCGGGAATCGAACACCAATCTCCTGGATCCCAGGTCTAGGCTCAACTGCTGAGCAACGCCCCGCTGGGTTGTATGGTTGTTGTTTTTTTAAAAAAGACAATAGGCAAAACCTTGGGCCAAACCTAATCCGAGACATTTGATTTTATGAATCAGTTTTGAATAGTGAAAGACTTGGGGATTTCACTTTCAGGGTGCAGAACCCTGGGCTTAATCCAGTGTTGTAGATGAATATTAATTTTTTTCGTCAATCACAGTAGTTATGTATTAGGAACCAGCTTTTCTTTTTCTAAAAGGAACAAAACAGCTCTTCAAATGGCACTATAGCACACTGTTAAAAGACTCACTTTCATGTTTTGAGGTATTGTCATACTTCTTGGGCAATGAAATATTGTGCTTTGCATTTGTTCACACAAATTTTAGTGTAATAAAGTAAAATAAAAGCACTGATTCCCAATTCATGCATTGAGTTTTGAAAGAGAAACCCTGTCAGAGTCTTTTTCTTTTCCAGATTTATAAATCAGAATGATTTTTAGGGAGACTATCTTTTCCTTCCTGATTGCCCATGTGACATCCTTAATCTAACCTAGCTCTTACTATTGTCAAGAAGCAAGGTAGTTGCTGTTTGTTGAAATGCCATTGCTGAATCACAATGAAGAATCTTATCCATGTTATTATTTACATATATTTTCTACAAGCATTAATTCTTTGCTAAATTGGAATTGAACGAAATTAAACCTCAGTTTAGATATTCAGAAAGCAAGGAAGAAACTAAAACATGTTGTAAGATAACAGATCACTAGTTGCCAGTGGCTAGAGACTTAGAGGGTTTGGTGTGACTTTAAAGGAACATAAGGAAACTTAGGGAGATGGTAGAAATGTTCTGTGTCTTGATTTTGAAGGCAATTTTCACAGATGTGTACATCTGTCAAAATTCATTCAGTTGTACGCTTTATAAGAATATGATTTATGTAAATTATGTTTTTAAAAAGAGAAGATCAGTAGATGAGTAAGAAATAGAAGAGAATCTGAAATAAGATGACAGCTGGAAGTGAGTATGAAGGTGTAAGAGAGTGATTATATTGATCAGAAAATACATGGTAGGAAAACCCACCAGGATTTCATTGTAGTCTGCTACTTAAGTTGTGGTTGTATTTGAATCACAAATATCTAAAAATTAAATGCTCACAATAATACTTTGTTAACAAATCACCCTAAAATGCATTACAACCAAAAATAAGCAATTTGTTTTCTTACCCATGGATTTGTAAGTGTTGGTTGGAATAGCTCTGTTTCAGTCCGCATGTTGACTTAACTGCTCTAGCGTTCAAGTTGGGCTCAGATCTGTGTGTATTCATTCTGGGGCTAAGGCTGAAGGAGCATCAAGTAGAGAGAAGCTCTTCTCTTGGTGAATGACCAGAGCACCAGAACATAAGCCCAAGTGCACTGGCACATTTCAAGTCTCTGCTCATAACCGTCCAGGGTCCAAGTCAAGTCACATGGCTAAGCCAGGAAACAATTTTTATTGTGTAAAGTTTTAAACATATCCAAACAACTTGCCATGTACCCATGCCCCAGTTTCAACAATTGTTTCATCTGTTTCTACCCCTTCTTCTTCAAGTATACCCAGGGGAACTAAGAAGTAGGGGGAATGCTTTAAAGTCAGCCACTCTGTGAATAGAGTTGAGCTAGTGGTGGTTGCTTTGATTCTTGATCACTGGTAGGCAGTGATTCTCACACTCAGGAGCTTAGTTTGGGGAGGATGTGGAAGAGCCCCTGGCTTCAGCACTTGGCGTGACAAATAACATCTTCTGCTTTTAGCAGTCACCCATTTTCCAACATTCATCAGGAAAGGAAAAGTTTAGGTAATCATTTAAGAACTAAGTAATGAACCCAGCCAGGCCTGGCTCAGCGGTTGAGCATCGACCTAGGATCCAGGACATCGGGGTTCGATTCCCGGTCAGGGCACATGTCCGGGTTGCGGGCTGCAGCCAATCAATGACTCTTTCACCATTGATGTTTCTATCTCTCTCCCTCTCCCTTTTTCTCTCTGAAATCAATAAAGATATATTTAAAATAAAAAATAAAAAAGAACTAAGAAATGAATATATAACCAGGTTTGCTTTGGCAGTTGAGCCAAGCTAATCATAGATTTTGTAACTGTTGGACAGAAAGCATGGATTTCTTTATTTGATTAAATGTGCTACAAATTTCTGAGTAATTTGATATAGATGAGAACAAGCAGTTTATAATTAACAGATCCTAAAGGAAAATATAAACAGTCTGATGTGAAAATGCTGAGAATTAGGAGAGTCTATGAAACTAGACTATGAAGCCTGCCATGTATGGAGTACAGATTAGAGATTTGGATACCTTAGCTATTAGACATTCATTTCTTGGCACAGTTTTTTTAAATTGAAGTATAATTGACATATAACATTATATTATTTTCAGGTGTACAACATAATGATTTCATATCTGTATACACTGCAAAAGATCACCACAATAAGTCTAGTTCTCATCTGTCACCATACAAGTTACAAAATGTTTTTCCTGTGATGAAAACTTTTAAGATTCATTCTCTTAACAACTTTTAAATATGCAATACATTATTATTGACTATAGTCCCTATGCTATATGTTATATTCCTGTGAATTATTTATTTTATAAATTAAAGTTTATATCTCTTGACCCCCCTTCACAACCATTTTCACCAACCCTCTTCCCCTCCTTTCTCTGTATATATTTGTTTTGTTTTGATTGATTGTTTTAGATTCCATATATAAGTGAAATCCTACGGTATTTGTCTTTCTCTGTCTGGGTTATTTCATTTAGTATAATACCCTCAAGTTTCATCCATGTTGTTGAACATCTGTATATCTTCGGAAAAAATGCCTGTTCAGATTTTCTGCCTATTTTTAATTGGATTGTTTATTTTTTGTTGTTATAGAGTTGTATGAGTTCTTTGTATATTTTGGATATCAACCCCTTATTCGTATATGATTTGCAAATATCTTCTCCTATTCTGTAACTTGCCATTTCATTTTGCAATGGTTTCCTTCGTTGTGCAGAAGCTAATTAATTTGATATAGTCCCACTTATTTTTGCTTTTGTTGCCCTTGCCTTTGGAGTCAGATCCAAAAAAAAAATCTTCATCAAGACTGATGTCAGGGAGCTTACCGTCTATGGTTCCTTTTAGTTTTATGGTTACATTCAAGTGTTTATTTTGAGTTAATTTTTATGCCTGGTGTAAGATAGTAGTCTTATCTATTGAAGAGATGACATTTTTGCCTCCTCTGTCATAAGTTAATTGACCATATATGTGTAGGTTTATTTCTGGGCTCTCTATTCTGTTCCATTGATCTATGTGTCTGTTTTTATGTCTTGGCACAGTAATCACTGTTTAATCCCTCCACAGTTTGGCTGCTTTAAGTAGAAGGTAGTTTTTGCAAATGTTGTAAAGCATAAACCATCTCTGAAAGGGGAATTGGTGTCATCAAGAAAAATAAAGGCACACTTGAAACTTATTAACCAGTGTTACTCTAATACATTTTATTTAAATTAAAAAAAGAAAAAAAAAGACCAAAAGTGTTCTGAAATATTTAGCACTTGCTTTTTTTTTTTTTTTTTTTAAGGATTTT